TCTCTCTCTGTCTCTGTGTGTGTTTCCTTGGATCACAGCATTCCTGGCCCCCCTTCCCTCCCCGTTCCCCGTCTCTCTCTGTGATGTCGTGGAAGATTTAGCCCCTTGTTATTGCTCGCACCTGTTGCTTCTCTCTCTGTGTCGAGAGCAAAGGTGCTGCTATGTTCCCCTAGATCACGGCACTGAGTCTCTTCCTCTCTCTCTCTTCCTCTTTCTCTCTATGCCTACACGTCATCTTCCCCAGGTCAATCAGGTGCGCACAGTGCTCCACAGCGCTTGACCATCACCAAGCAGGTCGGGCAGGATACCAAAGAGCTCTTCCTCCCCTATTGTTGCACAGCTCTGACGGGTGCGGTGCACTTCAGAAGCCATCCTGCATGGTGACGATTCATGCACATCCTTTTGCCGTTCCTTTTGCAGAAGAGTTTGTCGGGCCGTCTGTGGGTAACCCTGGCATTGATACCCAATTATGAACAACAAACCGAAAAACCAACCCACGCAACAAGATTGTCCATCCACGAAAACCAGAACTGGCTCTAGCTCGATTCAGAACCCTTTTTTGCTGCAACCCGACCTGCAAGCTTCAATCTACAGATTCCACACCCAACAACCCTGCCATTTCAGACCTTTGCCGTGGAGATTCTGTTGACAAACAACCAGCACGAAGAAGTCACGTTCAACCTTGGTGGCTGCCGCTGGGCGATGTCCCTCAGTCCATGCGACTGTACCCTTCATTCAACATTGCCGCCTCAGTCCCTCGGTAATGTGCCTAGAAATTAATAGTATTCAGTATCGATGAAGCAAGGGACTCACACTCAACCCTGATGCTCCTCGTGAACAAACAGTACTGCAGTCCCTCTACTGAAGCCGGTGTCTTCGCTCAACATACGTCAGGAAAGCTCCCCAGTGCAGGCACACAATGAGAGTTTGGTGGCTGCCGCTTCGCGATGTCCCTCAGTGACCGACCGTACCGTTCATTCAACACTGCCACCACCCCGTCCCTCAGTAATGTCCCTAGGAAATGAACAGTTAACAGCATAAAAACTGAGGACGTCACGTTCAACCTTGATGGATGCCCCTCGTGAACAAACAGTGCAGCGGTCCCTCCGCTCAAGCCGGTGTCTTTGCTTTAGCGTACGTCAGGAAAGCTCCTCCAGGCGAGGCACACAATGATACAGGCAAAAATCCCCTTTCCCTATGTCAATTAAACAGGGTGCACAAATGGTTAAGTCATTGGCTATCACGAGGCCGTCCCGGCTTTCTGCGACTTTGCTCGGTGAGGCACCACCAGCCTCAGCACATGATGATCCGGACAGATCCAGACCGATCCAGAATCCGGACAGGTCCAGACAGATCCAGACAGACCCAGACAATCACCATTCCCTGTGTCAAACAGTGTGCAAGCAAGACTGCCACATGGTTCGAACTGAATTGCAAGCTGCAAGCAATACCGTCAGATGGTTGACATGGTGTATTAGCTGGTATCATCATGTCCCCCTCTGGGACTCGCTGCGACTTGGGTCGAGACTAAGCAGTCGATTACTGAGGACAAACCACCACATGTGATTTTGCCCATATCACAGGACTGGAGTTTTTCACCACCATTCTTGAGGCAAGACCTGGTGAAAATAAGCGCAGCGCACGACTTTCTGGCGCAGTTCAAGAGGAAAGAACACATCAAGGCTCTGTACCTGGAGACAGGATGAGACGGGCAAAGTCTCTATCGCTTCGTTTTTTGTCACTGGAGGTCAGGAGGCAAGAATGCAGGAAGACTCTGCATTTGGGAAGACGACGACATTCGCCTTCCTGATGGTGGCGTGAACGACATAGGGCTGAAAGAACTGCCCGCCAGTCCTGCGTAGGGTTCTGGAGATTTCATTCCTCCTTCGATTAATATGCCAGTGGGATCACGGACCACCTTCGCGTTTCCCTTGCCCTGACTGTCAGAAATTTGACAGTGCATCTCGGTCATGCGCGAGTCCCCATCTTGCGACGACGACGAGGACCGACCATCGTTGTCTTCGGCATCACTCTTGTCTTCGGCATCACTGTCGACCTCATCGTCATCCTCCTCCTCATTATCATCTTCCTCATCTACTCCAAAATCTGGCCTGTGCCACTTCAAGTAGTGGTCCCTGATGAACCTGCAGAATGACAAAATTGTAGAGGGTTGTGTCAGCGCCACAAAAATCAAATGCAAAATTGCAAAATAATTCGAGACAGCACGGAACTCATAATACGTCTTGCCGGACCTGCTGCAGCCCCACAGGGTTAATGCCCCCCAAAAACACAAAAGAATACTGACTGCCGCAGAACCTAGGGTGAGAGAACCTAAGCTTACTTTGGATTTGACACGCATGCATCAATCGTACGACTGCTGTCGTCATGTAGACATTTCAGAGCTGTGATAAAAAAAAAAAGTAATCTCAAGTCTCGACAGTTATAACATGAATAACAACAAAAAGTTATGAAACACCACTGTCTTCAAGTCCCTGGTGCATTTCTGACACGTGCCAGACGTCATCATGGGGCACCCAGACTGCAGTGTTTCTTTCACAACACCACCAGCTAGTGTGAGACTACCGTCCTTCCCCGAACTATAACGCACCCTCCTCACAAACATATCGTACTGGAAAGATGTCTTGTATACATTCAAAATCAGGGTGTGTTGTGTTCGGGGGAAGACGGTAGGCATCTCCGGAAATCTCTGCACTTCCCTCTGGCAACAGTCTGCACCTCCCTCGACAGAAAGGCTGAGGGCATACTCACACTAGGACTTCTTTACTTGTTTCTGTATGTAATTGCGGTTGGATGCATCCAAGTAGCGCCGTGATTACGGTCACATACAATTAAAGATTGTGCCAGTGTGAATAGCTCTGATTGTCACAAAACTCAGGCTACTCAACAGAAATTTAAGTGTTGGTCACACACACCAGGTGTGCATTCACTCTAACTGCCCCCACCGCCTGGCCCCTTTCCCTGTGCGTGGGGTGAGTCTGAGAACACTTGAAGCCGGGAAAAGTTTGCGTTTGCTTCCCCCTTAAACCACCAGTATCAGGACCTTCCCTCCGAAGCTTGCGCCCATATCTGCCGAGACCACGCTTTCCATGCGCCGTCCTGGCTGAGGCCAAAATATTGTTTTTAGGAGAAAAAGAAATACGCTGTCCAACACTGGTGGTTTAAGGCGCGCTTCTGATTCATTTTGTTTTAGATGGTAAGGTGTCTGCCAAGACCACGCTTTCCATTATTTGCGCCGTCCTGGCTGAGGCCAAAAAACTGTTTTCAGCCTTTTAGGAGAAAATAAATTGGTCGTCCAACAATGGTGGTTTAAGGCGAGCTTCCGATTCATTTTGTTTTAGATGGTAAGGTATACCCTCCTGATGCAGTTGTCAAAAAAAGTGCGGCTGAAGGCCTCACATTTTTCATTACAATTAGTAATTTACTAATTCGCCCACCAGTTTAGTTGCACCCCTCTCTGTCTCTATCTTTCCATATATATCTTGATCATCTATCTACGTACCTATGTCAAAAATCTACCTCCATTTCAAAGGTTTGGGTCTTCTCTCTACCTAATATATCCGTCTCTCTAGCTTTCTATATCGTCTTATTTTCTTATATAATCCAGTACCGTATCTTATCTTATCTTAACATTTTTAACCTATCGTATCATATGCTATACAAACATGTCGAATCTTACCTTGTTGTACTGCATCACATACTATTGTATCATATCATATTGTGCCGTATCGTGTCAAAGTGCCGTATCCTACCCTTATCTCAACCTATCCTATTGTAGGTTATCCGATCATATTGTATTGTATCATATCCTAACATATCGTCGCGCGCCATACAATAGTGCATTGTATCGTATCGTATCATATCTGCCGTACCCGCCGTGCCGTATCATACCATACGTATTATCTCCTATCGTATTGGATCGAATTGTATCGTATCCTATTGTATCATACCATGTTCTATTGCATCCTATCATACCCTACCATATTGTATTGCACCCTATGGTATCATACTATATCGTATTGTATCCTATCGTATCAATCTACCTTCTCTATCTTCTCTATCTTCTCCATATTATTTATCTATCTTATCTATCTTATCTATCTCATATATCTGATCATCTCATCTATCTATCTTAACTATATTATCTATCTTATCTATCTTATCTATCTTATCTGTCTCCTTTTTCTCTCTGCGTGCTGTCTATCCATCTGTCCTATATATCTTATCATCCTGTCATATCGTCATGCACTAATGTATCTGAGCTATCTTATATATCTAATCTAACCTTATCTACCAGTCTTATCTATCTTATCTTCCATCTAATCAATCTCATTGATCTTCATCCATCCCAATCAACCCTTAATCTCCTCTCCTCGCCTAATCCTCATCCCCATCCTCACGGTTATGCCCATCCTCATCCTCATCATCCTCGTCCTCGTCCTCATCCTTGTCCACATCCTCGTCCTCTCGCTCTTGTCCTGTCCTGTCCTCTCCCCTTCCCTCCCCTCCTCTCCTCTCCTGTCCTCTCCCCTTCCCTCCTCTTCTCTCCTCTCTTGTCCTCTCCCCTTCCCTCCCCTCCTCTCCTCTCCTGTCCTTTCCCCTCCTGTCCTCTCCCCTCCTCTCTTGCCCTCTCCTCTCTTGCCGTCTCCTATCCTGCCCTATCTTATACTGCCTTATCCTATCCCCGCCCTACCCTGTCCCTACTCTATCCTATACCCGCCCTATCCTATCCTGCCCTATCCTACCCTGCCCAATCCTATCCGGCCCTACCCTATCCCACACACCCTATCCTGCTGTGTCCTATCCCGGCCTCTCCTATCCCGCTCTGTGATCCCGCCCTCTCCCATCATATCCTGCCCTGCCCTTCCCTGCCCTTTCCTAACGTGCTCTGCCCTGCCCTGCCCTGCCCTCTCCTATTGTGCGCTGCCCTGCCCTGCCCTGCCCTGCCCTGCCCCGTCCTGCCCCGTCCTGCCCTGCCCTTACCTATCCTGCCTGACCATGCCCTACCCTACCCTCTCCTCCCCTGTCCTACCCCGTCTTCCCTCCCCTGTTCTCCCCTGTCTTGCCTTGTCCTCACCTGTCCTCACCTGTCCTCCCCTATCCTGCCCTATCTTGCCCTGCCCTGCCCTCACCTGTCCTGTCATGCCCTGCCCTGCTCTGTCTGTTTATTTGCATTCAATTGCGTTCAAGGGAGTTCGCCAGGAGCATCAATCATCCCCTCTCTCCTCCTCCTCCGTCGTTTTTTTGCTTTTTTTTTTTTTTTTTTTTTTTTTTGAAACTGCTTGTGTTTGTTCCAGTGATATTGCAAGTAGGTTGATGGCAGCGATCAATGATCCTGAGTTTTGGAGGAGGAAGAGAGGAGCAGGGAGAGGAGGATTAAGAGAAGGGGAAAGGGTTTCACAGTGCCACTCTTTTGTTCGCTATTTGGAACCACGTACCATACACGACCCCCATCAACCCCTGTCTCCTTGTTACGGACTTCGCCAGGGCTCGATCCCTGGTCTATCTTTTTTTTGTTGCTTCGGCTGCATCCCGTTTTCGGCCTGGCACCGTTTTTCAAACCCCTCCTTCGGTACCGTAGGATTTTGGACAAATGGCGCCATGCTGCAATTCAGGCGCCACTTTCAAATACTGCATTTTTCAGTTCTGCCCTCGGGGCCTTTGCAGAAATGCCCCTGGTACCGTACGTGCCAACGATACTTATACCGGCTCCCCGTACGGTACGGGGACCAGTCTCGTACCAGTTTTCTGCTGCTGTACTCGTTCTCAGTGTGACTTGCTCCCGTTCGGCATTCGGAATCCAATACTTCGACTTTGTGTCCTTGCCCGTGTGTCTGCGTCCGACCCTCAGTCGTGTCGAGTGAGTGAGTGTGTGTGTGTGCTCTCACTCTCTCCCTCGGCTCTCCCTGTCTCCCTCAGCCTCCCGCTCATTACACTGGTATCGGAGTGGTTCGAACCCGCCCGACCCACCCTGCTTCGACGTCGTCACCTGGCCATCATCAACATCATCGTCGAGATCGTCGCCGCCGTGCCACGTCATCGTCATCATTGTGCCCCATCATCATTGTCACCGACGGGATCGCTGCCGTCGCGCCACCTCATCACCACCATGCCTGTCGTCCTCATCGCTGCGCCGCGCCGTCCTTGTCATCGCCGTCGCGTAGATAAGTAATCAACGACAATTTTTTTTTTTTTTTTTTTCCCTCATCTTTCTTCCTCGTTTCTTTTCTTCTTCTTCTTCTTCTTTTCATCATCAGTTTCTTCTTCTTCCTTTTTCTTCTTCCTCCTTTTTTCTTCTTCTTCTTAAAATTTTCTTCTCCTTCTTCTTTTTCAGGCCCCCACCTCTCTCTCCTTCCCGCCGCGCTCTACTCCTTCGCGTGCCCTACTTCTTCCCCGCCCGCGCCGTTCCTCCCCCTCTCGACACATTCCCCCCCCCCCCGACTCCCGACTTCCCCC